TCCTTTCCGAACAACCTAATAGCTAGGAAATGCCGCGCTAACTGAACTACTTCCTGCGAGCCGTCACAACCCGGATCTCCCTACCCGTATCCTTTCTTACTCTACCAACGCGTTTTGCGATTTAGGACGGTTACTTGTGCGGTCAACAAATGAATTTCATGAAAGAGGACATGTATCGACTTTTAGCAAAGCTTCGACCAAATGCAGTTTCTCTTGTAGACTCGTGGGATATCTCTGATCATGAGTTAAGATCGGTAGGTGTGGTTTTTCTCTAAGGACCATTATAAATAGACTTTGTATGAAAGAAAAGTAACTTTGCCACTTGGCAACTTCTGTATGGAAACCTGAAGCAACTACATCTGGGTTCCGAGTGGAAAAGCACGGAGTCTGCAGCTATTCTGTAACAGTGATTTGATCCGTAATTTACAGGTGTTGGGACGACGAGATGGTCATGTGTACGAAAATTTGTACAAATGGGCTCAAGAGAGCGAACTTAACCGGACTCAGGTATGGCTGAACTAGGTACCCTTCACGCTGGTGAGGTGTGCAGAGCAGAACATATTAGCCTCTGTGGAAACCACAGCGGAGGGATGGTATTTAGGTAGTGGGGAGGGAGGTCGCACTTCGTCTGGGGGAAAAATTCTCGGCCTCTCCAATTTTTTTCATGTGCGCTGTACGGCTGATATCGTCGCAATCAGTGGGGGCGGTGTCAAGAGGCGTGGAGTGAGCCTGCCCGGGCTGTATTTTCTACTGCTGACCAATCAAGGAAGAAAGCAACCAGCGATAGAAAACACCTTAATGGGCTTGTTTGTTGCAATGCCTCCTGACTCCGCCCCGACTGATCGCGACGATATCAATTGCATACCCAACGCTGGATGGCGAAATTTTGCTAGAATTTGGTACGTGTGAGATGGTCAGCCATTTCTGTCTCCCTCATGATACACACTTCCTTTTGAGGCGGTAGTGGTAATATAAAGTCTTGTCTGCTGCGGACGCTGGCTGTTTCAGAGGGCTGGATATGGCGCGGCGCCAGCCTGTTCTCCACCACCTGTGGAAGCTAGCAGGCCGCCACATTGGTGGACAACTGGCTGGCGTTAAGCGAAATCCAGTCTCCAAGAGGGTCAGCGCCCCCAGCGAACAAGACTGTGATTTACCGTACTCTCCTGTCCTCTATGAATAGGAGCAGCTTGGACCTTCCCCGGGAAGATTTTATAATACCGGCTATTTTCAAAAACAGCCTACTCCATGTCACCGTCTGTCCTACGCTCTACATATATCCATTTCAGGTACTTCCAACATTCGAAAAATACCTCAAGCCAATGATGATGGAAGCCCGTAAACAAAGTAAACTGTAGTAATCTCCTGACCGACACAATGCCTACCTCTGACTGAACAATCTGCTGCAAACGAATAGTTCGGGTCTATGATCATTTGGTTCCTAGCATTGATTACCATTTCAATAAATATCAACAGATACTTGCTCTCAAAGGATGGTCCGTCGATCCAGGTATAGAAGGTTGAAGAATTATGGCGTTGAGAAGGTAGCGTGGTCCGCACCGAATAACTTTGTGCCGGTTTCGCGGCAAAGTTGTGGGGGGAAGGGTGGGGCTATAACGCAATGTAGGTTCAGTGACGACTCCTTTTATCTAGTGACTCCGTCTTCAAGGCTCGTCTTCCAGTGGAAAACGAAGCTGCCGGACGAAAAAGTATGAAAGTCGTCAGTTGTACGGTCGTAGAGTACTTATCGGAGAATCAGCAGTGCCGATGAGGGCGTAGTGTCGGAGACTGGAGTTCACTGGGCCAAACTGGATCGAAATGGGTTTTCATCTGGGGCGGTTGCATGTTTCTTCTGCTTTTCTCTTCGGTCGAGTACTCAGCACCTTGTCATCTCTGTGCTAACACCTAATCCACTACCTGCGAATGATCGCAACCTTCGCTTTCAGGAATGCGCAGATACTCACAGAAGCGCAGCCGATTGAAGGTAGTTTTCAAAGCTTGAGCAGTCGTCTGGTTTGTAATTAAGGCAGTTGCACGATGGTTCCCTGCCTAAAAGCTAGTATAAACACCCTCCCCCGCGCTATATAGTGGGGAAATGGCGAAAAACGGAGTGAAACGGTCAAAATCCTGCGAAGAAAAAGCCTCCGTTCTCAGTGACTTGAAAATCGATTTCGGACGAGTTTCCCGTAGGCATCTTGCCAATCACCGCTACCTGAGGCTGTATGATGCGTACCATGTATGCATGCAGCGTCACGGCGCTCCATACCAAATTCCCTTCGCTTCAGTAATTTCTTAGCAACAATGATGAAGCATGAGTTACGGTTGTCCCATGTTGTGGGCAGAACGGATGCGGCGGGCGTTTTATGGTCGCAATGTCTGTGCTTGATAGGCTCAATGAAAGGGCACCATTATCGGAAACGCCGCATGCAGCGCCTGCCCAGGGTCAACGGAATCACCCTCCAGGAGTTGCGCTGATCCTAGTCGTCTTGGGGGATTTATCGTGCCAACTACTTTTGATAGCTGCCACATTAGACAGGCATTGATCACTTTTTTCTCTTGTTGTGTTGACTACTCGGCAAATCATACGGGGGCTGGAAATTACACGAACAAAACCTACCCTTATGAGATGATCATCACTCAGCATACTTTCTAATAAGAAAGCCGAAGAGACTGAGTTTCCTGAAAAGCTGAATCCTATTCGAGTAACAAAGGATTTTCCACGCTTTCACTAAGCTATCAATATCGTGGAATGTAGTACATGCGTGTGGGGCTGCTCATGACGCGCGCGGTCGGTCAATCTCGAGTGCGATCCCGCCAGTGCCAACCGCACTCCTCTGTGCATTCAGTACAAGCGCACATCATCGTAGAAAGACTGCTTTTCAGATGATTCATTGATTTTCCCGTCCTATAGACGTTGCACCTTGAAAAGCCTTGGTCTTACTTCACGGCAAAGTTGTGGAAAATTTCTCGTCGAATGGCAGTGTCTTACCAAGATCATGGGAAGCGTAATGATTTAGCGAATTCGTACATCCTCATAATGTTTCTCATGCTTGGAAAGATATAGGCACTGACATCCGTCCCATAAAGTTACTGCGTGGGTCAAATAGTCATCAAAATGGTACAACTATTCTGAACGGGGCAGAATTCGTGGGGCATCACAAATAGGCGTTTAGGCTTCCTTTCGTCGCGGCTTCGCACGCTTTCCTAGCTGTTGGCGTGAAAGACACACAAGACAGAGTGGTTCATACAACGGTGAGCTGCCACGTAGAGTGGAATGGGTCCTGCTGAGAGTCCTGCGCGCACCGCTCAGTTGCAACGGTTTTCTAGCTCTGGTTCGTTGTCCTGTCACAGCACCATGTATGCGGACAGCCAGATAACGGTGACTTACTAATGCGTCGAACGGTGCAAGAAGCATGGTTCAACATGGGGGGGGGGGATGGAATTTTTTGAGTGAGCCACTTGTTATGCTTGAAAGTTGGACACTGTGGCCATAGACGAGAGAAAACAGAGGAAATCGGGAAGTTCAGGTGATTAGAGATTACAATTAAAGGCAGCTGGCACTAGTTTGGTGCTTGGCCTGAGATGCTAGCAGGTGCCCTAGGTAGTGAGAAAATGGCGAAAAACGAAGTGAAACGGTCAAAAACCTGCGAAGAAAAGCCTTCGTTCTTAATGACTCGAAAAGCAATTTCGGACGAGTTTCCCGTAGGCATCTTGCCAATAACCGCTACGGTAGATACGGCTGCACGTATGTACTCATATATCCATGCAGCACCGCAGCCGCTTCATATCAATCCCTTCGCTTCATATTTTACTTAGCAAATGAAGCAATACGAGCATCAGGTACAGTCGTCCATTTGTGGGCGGTTTCTTTTGCCAGGGGGTGATCGGGGCCTGGTGTGTTGTTAGTTCTGGTTCACCTGCGCGGCCACTATCGATATACTAATAAGCCGACTCAAACGGTTCTTAGAGAAAGTGCACTCCGCCATGTCACTCTAGCACGCGGCATCTGACTCGGTGTATGATCCATAGGAAGCTCGTTGGCACTCGTGCATGTGGTAACCGAATGTTACGGCCTGTCAAGGCCTGCTCAGAGGTTCCGACAGATGTGAGTTTATCGGCCTACTGAATACACGTTAGAGACGCACTATGATAGGCAAGCTGCGAGCATATGCCTTTTGCTAAGTGCTTGCACTCATTAGTATTGAACGTCTCTTACCATCTCAGATTATTGCGATTGCTCACTTTCGCCGCCGCTTCTCGTGAATACCTGTTAAGACTGGGGCTTGCCAGATCAGATTGCAACGCGGCTTAGAGCCCAATAGAGCCTCGATGTGGGTCGCTCAAAGAGATAGGCGCAATGCGTGTATTCGATACACAACTATAAAATAGGAAAGTAGATTGAACGGATTCCTGATATGCGCATGCCGCTGTCGACGAAAAAACTCAAAAAACAGACAAAGGCAAAACATTATCAGCGACCGAAAAAGTGTAGTAGGTTACTGTGTATTAGTGTACGGAGATTGAAATTGTATTTAATCGTAAATCGCTCGCAATGAGAACATAAAGACTGATGCTATCTACGCCTACATGAACAATTCATGGTTTCTGCGCGTCAGAGACCTTGTCTTGTTCACAGCTCATAGTGATCACTACGAGGACACTGTAAAACCCTCGAGAGAAGCTATTATTCGCGGCACTACGTATTTAGCGCAATGCCAACTATTGACACAGGATGTGTCCACTTCACTCTGCACGACTCGCTGTTCCTTACGTCTAAGGTCTTGTGCAAGTTGACGAGTATATTATATCCGCAAGGACCCGATCAGCGCGCCGGTAGTGAAACCATTGGAGCGCAGAAAGTTAGTGTGACATCTGCGGAGTGAGTTTCCCGGGAGTACTCTTATATAGGACCCTCAAGAACAGCCCATACTCGCAAAACTCAGTTGTATTTTTACCTACAGATTTCACACCGTAAGAATCATATTGTGTGGTTTGCGCCGGTTCTCGCGAAGAGATATCTCACCTCGCAATCTCTGTCGTGTTACGTTTGGATGGAAGGGCCCAGTGGGCCAGCGATGAAGAGCAGGCCTGCTCAACTATGTGAAAAACGCCAAGATAAATAGTTACGCAGGAGGGGTTTAGTGTGTGAGGAAACCCAACGTAACCTGCTAGGTTACAATTATCCGAACATTCGGCGATAAGTAGCAGTTATAATATCGAGTCTATTATAAAAGTCCAGACACTAGGTGCGTTTCGTCGTCTCCAGGTCTTCCATATGGTCTTCTACATTCTCTGTGCAATTACTGGTCCTGCGCTCCTTGAGCCCACTCTGTGCTCACAAATTGTCTACATACAAACAGTCATAGGTCCTTGGCAGTTGTTCACGCGATGTGACCATGTGCTACATAACTCGCCCACGCTCGATCAACACACGCTGCAGGATTAATACGTGGATAAAGTATTCTTATGATACAGAGTGGATTTTTTCTGCTCTTAGTCCCCAATCTCATTGTAAGGATACATCAGACCACGAATCTTGCGCGGAATGGATCAAGCACAATTACTACTCCCAGAATAAAAGCTGCTGGAGCCTCTGCTCATCGCAGTTACTGTGACCCAATGAGGAGTGTAGCTGTTTCCTGGGTTCTTACCGATCTCAGTTCATGATCTGAGAAATCCCACGAATCCACCAGCGACACGATGTTCGGGCGTAACTTCGCCAGAAGCCTATACATATCCTCCTTCATGAAATCCATTTGTTGACCCGATAGGTAGCCATCCTAGATGACTTTTTCATTCAATCAGTGATCCAGGACAGATAGAATAAGACAGTATGCAGTACAGTAACACAATACTTACCTCAAGCAAGTAATACGCCATGTCAAGGAGTTCATAGTTAAGATGAAGATGAAGGAGATCTCGGAGCGTGTCACGACACGGTCCATCAGCTACTGATTTCACTTTTTCATCGAATGTACGAGCGATGTACTGCCGAGTATGAACTCGAGCGGCCTATAAATATGCACGTGAAACGGGAGGGGTATGTGACAAGAGAATCGTAATTCGATGCTCTAGAGGGCGTCGCCCGCAAATGACGATGCTTCCATGTAGTAGATGGCAATTACAGGCAATTCGGAACCGAAAATAGTCATGTCTACGATGACGCGGGTCGGTCTACATGAAGTCCGGTGCTCCAATCGACAGGTTAACACGAGTTAAGAAAACGCCGCGCCCATCGCCGCGCGCGGCGGAGCGGCAAATTACGATTCTCTTGTCCGTCTCTCAAATGGGAGAAACTTAGGGAAGTGATCATAAAAACATCTCTTATAGAGGCTAACACGACCGCCTTGCTGGGAATCCCCAACCTTAACGTGCCTTCACTGCTAACATTGCCCGCGCCGGCTGCGAGGGAATGTCGGAATCGCACTTCCGTATCCACACGCGTTGTTTTCGGAGTAAGGAATTCGCAGAGCATGCTCCTTAGGGTAGCAATGGGATGGACCTCTTCAAAGATTTGAACGAGCCATGAGAAATTACAGCTCGTACGCAAGGGCTGCGGCGTCGTAGACCATGCCCCCTCCCCCGCCCCCTACGGCGACCCAAGATAGAAAACCTATATACACATGGACAATTCCTCGTCACTAAATTGTTACTGCAAACCACTCATTCTTCTTCACTGACTGACGGGTCACCGCCTCCTTTTAAAGGTGATGGACTGGTGCCACACTTGCGACTTCTTGTATAGCACATTTACTCCTACATGAGCATTAAACTCACTCTATTTAATTCAACGGCGTTTGCATTCCACGCTTCTTCCTCAGAAAGTCCTTGAGCTCGAAGCGATCGCATCCTTTCATAGGCCTTCATCGTTTGCAGCTTGGCTGCCTTGTCGAACGCTTTCAGATGGGCAGTATAACCTGTAAACTCACTAACTGTACAAAACACTCATCGCAGTTTGCAAGGAGTAAGAGCCAAGTGAGTCGTCCCAAAAGCAGAAATCACAAGGATTCTGTGGGCTACCTATGAGCCTTGACTGCTATTCTATCTCCTCAGCGCGTACATTCTCTTTATCGTTGTAGAAAAAGCCTCACTTACTTCACTTCCTCTTCACTGTCGTGAAAAACAGGTGTACCAGTGCAGGAAGCAAAGAGAGGCCGCGCTGATTACATGGGCGATCTAACTCCGCCCATGTAAGGTCATGCCTTCGCAGCAGGGAACTATGCTTCGCCCTTGTCCTTTTGCTCACTTGCGTCTGTTCTAGCGCTCCTGTGACGGCAAGAAACGAAATAGAGTGGCACAAATAAATTGAAATCTAGAGCTTACAGTATTGTTTGTATTTGAGCCTAAATTCAGGAGGGGGTAAGGCTGCGTTTATACTTTGCGGCAACGTAGCGTAGCGCTTCCAGCGTACGCCAGCGGCAGTGCCGGGGAGAGGATGGATATCGATCTAGCGTTCCCAGCGTCACCAGTCACGCTAGCGTGAC